TTAAATGGATTTTTATTTGGATTTCATGTAATGGACATACACAAAATAGTCCAAATTGGTGAAGTGAAATGGAACTTATTTCAAAGAATTCTAAAAAATAAATAACAGAAAAGTGGTGCGTGCATATGTATTCACCCCCTTTCCTATTAAGCCCCTAAATAAGATCTGGTGCAACCAATTAACTTCAGAAGTCACATAATTAGTTAAATAATGTCCACCTGTGTGCAATCTAAGTGTCACATGATCTCAGTATATAGACACCTGTTCTGAAAGGCCCCAGAGTCTGCAACACCACTAATCAAGGGGCACCACCAAGCATGCGGCACCATGAAGACCAAGGAGCTCTCCAAACAGGTCAGGGACAAAGTTGTGGAGAAGTACAGATCAGGGTTGGGTTATAAAAAAATATCAGAAACTTTGAACATCCCACGGAGCACCATTAAATCCATTATTAAAAAATGGAAAGAATATGGCACCACAACAAACCTGCCAAGAGAGGGCCACCCACCAAAACTCACGGACCAGGCAAGGAGGGCATTAATCAGAGAGGCAACGAAGAGACCAAAGATAACCCTGTAGGAGCTGCAAAGCTCTACAGCGGCGATTGGAGTACCACTTTAAGCCGTACACTCCACAGAGCTGGGCTTTACGGAAGAGTGGCCAGAAAAAAGCCATTGCTTAAAGAAAAAAATAAGCAAACACGTTTGGTGTTCGCCAAAAGGCATGTGGGAGACTCCCCAAACATATGGAAGAAGGTACTCTGGTCAGATGAGACTAAAATTGAGCTTTTTGGCCATCAAGGAAAACGCTATGTCTGTCTGAAACCCAACAACTCTCATCACCCCGAGAACACCATCCCCACAATCCAATTGAGGATCTGTGGTATGACTTAAAGATTGCTGTACACCAGCGGAACCCATCCAACTTGAAGGAGCTGAAGCAGTTTTGCCTTGAAGAATGGGCAAAAATCCCAGTGGCTAGATGTGCCAAGCTTATAGAGACATACCCCAAGAGACTTGCAGCTGTAAAATCAATTTTAATTCCAGGTTTTAAGGCAACAAAATAGGAAAAATGCCAAGGGGGGTGAATACTTTCGCAAGCCACTCTATGCTGTAATAGAAATAAGGCAATGCTCATGAAGAAAAGTCCTCCCTCATCTTAAACGGCACTGACCGCCACTGGTAGCTAGAGGCGATCTAGAGCTGAACTGGCTGTGGTGGCTACTAACTAGATAGTTATCTGCTAGTAGTTCATTCATTCAGTCAAGAGGGGATGAAACATTAGCTAACGTAACATGTCAGTTACACTACTAGCTCAGCACTGAGAATAAAACAATTTTTTTTCTGTCAAACATGCCTTGCCAGCTAGATCAGTCAACTAAAGAGTAACCAGTTTCTGCTCTGCTTGTTTTTACAACTCTGAGAAAAAGCGCAACACAGACAGCAGCTGCCTCTGTTCATCTCTCCCGTGCTAGTCCTATACGCCAGCCTTTCAGAAGCTTTGCCATCACACAGCCTGTACGCACGCTCTGTGATGTCTGTGCAGTCCTAAATCTAGCTGGCTGAAACTGGAAAACAGCCTACCCGACCACTCTGAGGCATCCGCATGGTCCTAAAGCACACCGCTGCCATGTTTTGTATCACAGTGCAATGATAAAACTGGGGGGGATAAACATGCAATTTCAGAATGTGGGGGGGGGGGGTTGTTATGTGAACAGTTAAAGCCAAAGATGGTGGCTCTGTTATACACTGTACACATGTCCCTGCCTAATTACGGTCCTGGGGTCCCCTGTGAAACGTTGACCAAAAACAATGGTCCCTACCCTGACACAATAACATTCCAAAATTATATTTTCTTGACCCTTTTACTTCATGAAGAGCATACTGTAGTTCATCTTGTTCTCCACCGTGCAAAGTGTGCATGCAGATTGAAAGGCTGGTCATGGCTCACATCAACACCATTATCCCAGAAACCCTAGACGCACTTAAATTTGCATACCTCCCCAACAGCTCCACAGATGATGCAATCTCTATTGTACTCCGCACTGCCCTTTCCCACCTGGACAAAAGGAACACCTACGTGAGAATGATATTAATTGACTACAGCTCAGCGTTCAACACCATAGTGCCCTCAAAGCTCATCACTAAGCTAAGGACCCTGGGACTAAACACCTCCCACTGCAACTGGATCCTCGACTTCCTGACGGGCCTCCTCCAGGTGGTAAGGGTAGGTAACAACACATCTGCCACGCTGATCCTCAACACGGGGGCGTGCTCAGTCCCCTCCTGTACTCGCTGTTCACCCATGACTGCATGCCCCCCCCCCCCCACCCCCCACCCCCTTCCTCTTGTAATATCCATCGATGCCTTGACCTTGACGCTCTGGTAACGGAACCCAAGATTAGAATACCGTTAGATAATTTTTGCAAGAAATTGTAGGTAAATAAATCACATGTTCTATTGTATTTTTCATTAAATTATACATATAAAGTCTACATGATAGCTGATGAGGCAGGCGTGGTAATGTTTTTGTTTTGGAGTGGTCTCTAAGGACGCAGAAGACCCGGATGTTGTAACTATACAAACGTTGAATACTAGCTAGCTATCTTTATTGGTTAATTTTCTTTTCACAATAACAAACTCAGATAGAGGCGAAATCGAGGCAGCTCAGCAAATATAAAAAATTAATTATTTATACGGCAAAGCCTAGCATCAAAGCCGTTGCCAAGCTAGCCTAGTGGGGGACGATTTGCAGTCTCCCCTGGCCGCGCATAGTTGATGTATCTAGCTAGTGTAGTAGCGAGGGACAGTTGCCGTTTTACAGAAACTGATTAGCCAGATGTATCGACTACAGTGAGCGAGTAGTAAGAAGAGGGTGGAGGAGGATCTGACTGTCCGTGTTGTGTGGGTAAGCGAAGAGACAGGCTAGCTAAATTAGCTAGCTAGGTACGGCTAGGTATAGCTGACGTTGCTAACTACAAGTAGAGGGAACGATTTTATTGTTGTTAGCTTAGCTAGCTATCGCAAATTGATTCACAGTTAGCTAGTGTTATTATGCTGATAGTGTACTGATAAAGAACGTTAGCTACAGTAGCTATATTTCTAACGTTAACCAGCTGGTGTTCTCTACCTAGCATTAATCTGCCGCTGTTAGCCAGGTATTATTGTGGTGTGTAGGTAACTATATATACAAAAGTATGTGGACACCCCTTCAAATTAGTGGATTCGGCTATTTCAGCCACACCCGTTGCTGACAAGTGAATAAAATTGAGCACACGGCAATGCAATCTCCAGAGACAAACAGTCATTGGCAGTAGAATGGCCTTACTGAAGAGCTCAGTGACTTTCAACATGGCACCATCATAGGATGCCATCTTTCCAACAAGTCAGTTCGTCAAATTTCTGCCCTGGTCAACTGGGTTTCCATGGCCAACCAGCCGCACACAAGCCTAAGATCACCATGCGCAATGCCAAGCATCAGCTGGAGTGGTATAAAGCTCACGCCATTGGACTCTGTGGAAACGTGTTCTCTGGAGTGATGAATCACACTTCACCATCAGGCAGTCCGACGGACGAATCGGTGTTTGGCGAATGCCAAGAGAACGCTACCTTCCCGGATGCATAATGCCAACTGTAAAGGTTGGTGGAGGAGGAATAATGTTCTGGGGCTGTTTTTCATGGTTCAGACTAGGCCCCTTAGTTCCAGGGACAGGAAATATGCTACAGCATACAATGACATTCTAGATGATTCTGTTCTTCCAACTTTGTGGCAACAGTTTGGGGAAGGCCCTTTCTTGTTTCAGCATGACAATACCCCCGTGCACAAAGCGAGGTCCATACAGAAGTGGTTTGTTGAGATCAGTGTGGAAGAACTTGACTGGCCTGCAAAGAGCCCTGACCTCAACCCCATCGAACACCTTTGGAATGGAATTGGAACACTGACTGCAAGCCAGGCCCAATCGCCCAACATCAGTGCCCGACCTCACTAATGCTCTTGTGGCTGAATGGAAGCAAGTCCCTGCAGCAATGTTACAACATCTAGTGGAAAGCCTTCCCAGAAGAGTGGAGGCTGTTATAGCAGCAAAGGGGGGACCAACTCCATAATAATGCTCATGATTTTGGAATGAGACGTTCGACGAGCAGGTGTCCACTTACTTTTGGTCATGTAGTGTAGTTAATAGCAGAGAGGAAGACTATCTGGCTAGTTTTAAAGGTGCAATATGTAGAAATCGCTCTGCCATTTCCTGGTTGCTAAAATTCTAATAATTCGCCTAAATGTGACACTGAGTGTAGAGAATTATTGTACCATCTTTACAATAACCAAAAAAAATGTATTTTCAGTTGTTTGAAGCTGGTGTACATAACTGAAAGTAAAGATGCAAAAATGAAACTTAAGAAAGGGGAAGCATAGAAATAGCCCACATAAAACAGATCTACCGCTTCTTAGACTTGCTTTCAATGAGAATGACAGATCTATAACTCACATTTCTATGAATTTGGTAAGGTTGCCCAAAAAGTTACATATTGCAGCCTGTAAACAAAAATGGAACTGGCTTGGGAGGACCTACCCAAACTGTAGTTACATTAACTAGCTAGCTAGTTAGTTATCAAATAGGATGCTAGTATGAGTGTCTTTGGCCGTAACTTAACTACAGTCAGATCTTGGCCGTACTTAGTTCTCATTGGACCCAAACAAAGGGTCAGTTCTATCTGGGATACTTGGAACATCCCTACCCTAAACCACAAGCCTAACCTTAACCATTTTAAATGTCAACTTCAATGGGGGTAGGGACGTCCCAAGGGTCCGTGATTGCACGGTCCCCAAACAAAGCATCTGCTCTTTCTTGATTGATCTTGGGATATATGCACTAGACTCAGTCTAATGTGGCTTTGCAGTTGCCAGTAAATAATAACTAGAACTTGGACAAGATTGATTATTTGGGGGGGGGGGGGGGGACTCAGTTCATTTGTCACACAATTCATTCTGGTCTTCTATCCCTAGGTTGAGCTGACTCCCTCTGCAGTGGAAGTAAAAGATGTGCAATGGAATGTTCGAGTCAATGTCAAAAGCCCTTGAGCTGCTCACCTCCGCTGACAAGTGGTCACTTTCACTGTTTCTCTTTCTAACTGTGCTATCCACTGGACAAGGGTCAGGTAAGAGATCTCTCGTCGTCAGCAAAAGCCCCCCTCACACATCTCCATTCCTCCATTCCATCCACTACTGCAACTGTTATGCTGCTACAATTCCTCTTCTCTCTTTCAGTCTAATAATGCAGGATGTACAATGCTCTATGTGGTAAATTATAACATTGGAATTGGGTTTATTTGAGCAAACAGCTGGCCCACATCCACCACATATGAGCTACACTCAATATTAAGGTGTCAAGTCCCCACATCCTCTCCCTCTCATAGCTGATGAGTAAAATATGCTGGATGGGGGGCGTGAAGCTGTTGCTAGAAATCCTCCTCTTGCTCACCTCCCACTCACCTCCCACTGCATTCGTGACTCATTGATATTATATAAACTTCATAAAACCCACTCATATAGAATTGCCTTTAACAACAGTGTTTTAAAACCATCAAATATAGCATAAACACAACAGAATGCGCTAGCATCAATCATATTACCTTTCGTCCCTCCTCAGGATGTGTGAGGCCATTCATGTTGCAGAACAGCTGGGTCAACCTGACTGAGACCAACAGGGGTTCCTTCCCTGTGGGCACAGTGCTCCAGTACAGCTGTGACCCAGGCTACCTGGCTGATGGGCCCAGCATCATCACATGCAACCTCCTGGGCCTCTGGACCTCAGACCCACCCCGCTGCATACGGAGTGACGGTAGGTGGCTCTCTCTACAATGTGGCCACCAGTATGACTCATTGTGAAAAGGATAATTTCTCTCCAGTTGAACAACATAAAGTTGATACCAAAATGTGGATAATGTAGGATTATAACTTTATAACATGATGATTGTGTTGTTTCTGACCAGCAGTGTGCCGGCCTCCGTCTGTGCCTGAGAATGGAGGGTACACCTGCCACCCCTCTTCCTGCCACCGGCTAGGCCAGGGTACTGTGATCGAGTACTTCTGTGATGAAGGCTACATCCTGAAGGGAGACTACAAGTACAGATATCTTACCTGTCAGGATGGGGAGTGGGACGCCCCCATGCAGATTAGCTGTGTCAACCAAGGATGTGCGAGGCCGTTCATGGTCCAACATGGGTCAGCCAACCTGACAGAGACTAACAGGGGTTCCTTTCCTGTAGGCACGGTGCTCCAATACAGCTGTGACCCAGGCTTCTTGGAGGACGGGCCCAACATCATCACCTGCACCCCCCTGGGCCACTGGTCCTCAGACCCACCCCGCTGCATACACAGTGAGGGTACTAATAGCTTTACTAAATACTCTGAATTCATTCCACACACACTAACATATTTGGGAGTCTAAAATGAGGTTTGTGAGCTCAATGATGATGGTTCTCTTGTTTCTTGTCAACAGTGTGTCTTCCTCCATTTGAGCCAGAGAATGGGGGCTACACCTGCCACCCGTCCCCCTGCCATAGACTAAACCATCGCACTGTGATCGAGTACTTCTGTGATGAAGGCTACATCCTGAAGGGAGACTACAAATACCTGACCTGTCAGGACGGGGAGTGGGACGGCCCCATGCAGATTAGCTGTCTCCTGGACCAAGGTTGGTGACCATAATGTGAGATTACACTGATTTACTCTCCACAGAGTTCAGTGTTAGGTGGCTTAACTATTCGTTTTGTGTTGTATCAACCTGCAAAATGAAATTATACTGTAACGTTACTACTTTTTCAAGCCTCAAGCGGGACTGTCTGTCCTTTTATGGACAGCAGACCTGCCAACCTGCACACATTTTGCGTACCATGCATGCAATTTGAGGTCAAAGTACGCTGGTATGAAAAACTACCCTAAAATATGCAAAAATAGACTTCTATTTGGCACATTGCGGTAGTAGGCACGAGTGCATTGACGAGCAAGGAAACGTGCGTTGTTGCGGTAGTTCAGTGCATGTCGCTTCTTGAATGGAAACAGACAAGGCAGAGAGAGCTGTTCCGCCAATACGTCCTTCACAGAAAGTTATGTTACATTTGACATTTTAGTCATTTAGCAGACGCTCTTATCCAGAGCGACTTACAGTTTTTTTTAGTGAGTGCATACATTTTTCATACTGGCCCCCCATGGGAATCGAACCCACAACCCTGGCGTTGCAATCGCCATGCTCTACCAACTGAGCTACAGGAGGCCCTGTTAGACAGTTAAAGATTAGTAGACCTATGTTAATTCATCAGTTCTTGATCTGTCCTCATGATATAGTTGTATGTCAACAGTAGGCTTCAAATTATGTGATAATAGCTGGTTCACCAATGACAAGGCATGTTGAATGAATGGTAGCCTAGTAGTCAGACCTAACTTGATGGATTAGGTCAGTGATGGAAATTTGATGGAAAAACAAGCTCATTTAGGCCTAGTTCAGTTGTTTCATATTCCAAATAGCCTACAGTAAACTAGACTACTACATTGCATCCAGTAGTTGGAATTGTTCAGAATTCAGTTTACATTTTCTCTAGACTGTCAATATAAAGACACCTGTTAATTAGAATAATAATTTCCCCTAAATTTAACCTAGAAAGATTTAATTGAGACCACATCAATTTCATTTAGGATCAAACACAAGACTTCTGTGTTGGCTACATGCTCCAACTTCCTGAGGGGGAAGTTGACTGACCCCCTCCGGACCTCCCCCCTATCCAACCGTAGGCCTACATCAGCACCACCTTGTCAGAAAATCATAGGAAGAGCCCTGATTGTACATTTTAAACATATCTCTTCTAGTTGGCTAGTGAAGAGCAACCAATTACTAAGTACCATAACAGTCTAAAGCAGGGGTGTCAAACTCATTTTAGCTCAGGGGCCACATGGAGGAAAATCTATTCCCAAGTGGGCCGGACCGGTAAAATCATGGTATATATAACTTAAAAACAACAACTTCAGATTGTTTTCTTTGTTTTAATACTATCAACATAAAACATAAAGCTGGAGCCTGAGGACAGTGTGTCCAAAATAGTACAAGCACAACATCACTATTAATCATAAAACACCTCAAGTTTATTTGAAAATTCTAAAGAAAAAACACACAAACACACAATGCCTCAGTGATTCACATAACTGTTTCACAGATCACAGAACTATATCAGGGTGTCATTTCTCAGGCAGAAATTTAGATACAAATAATGAAATCCTGTTCCCCAAACAAGTGCAAGAACCACAGAGTCAAGAATAGGTTAAATATACAAATAAAATAAAATCAATTAAAAACAATAGCACATCAACATAAAAACATATAAACATAAAGCTGGAGCCTGAGGACAGTGTGTCCAAAAGCACAACATCACTATTAATCATAAAACACCTCAAGTTATTTGAAATTCTGAGGACAAACAACACACAAACACACAATGCCTCAGTGATTCACAGAAGTATATCACAGATCACAGAACTATATAAGGGTGTCTCATGCAGCACTTTAAGTGGGGTTGCATAGTTTATTTGACTCCTGATACCTGGCATCTTTTAGCTTTCACCAGCGCATCAATATCAGGCGTCACATCCTGAGTGGCAGCCAACTTCAGGATGTGATTCAAGTGCTTGTGCGTGAGCCTTGAGCGCAGCTTTGTTTTATTTATGCTCATTACAGAGAACTTGCTCACAAAGATATGTGGTTCCAAACATGCACAACCGTTTTGCAGCGAGGGCTGTCAAGTTGGGGTAACCTGGCAAGAGATTCTGATAAAATGTGTCCAAGCCAGCTGCGGCAAATTTGCCCTTCAAATCCGAGTCACACTGCAAGTCTATTATTTCAAGTTGGATGCTGACGGGCAGATCAGAGGGATTCACGGTGAATGGCGAACAAAAAACTTTGAAGTCTTTCTCCAGTTCACCAAAAATCTGAAAGCGTTGCTCAAACTCCCTTAACAGTCCCGTTATTTTATCTTTGAACCGCTTCATGTCTGCCACATGTTGGGTCGCGCACACATTTTTCAGACAGGGGAAGTGAGCTGCATCACCACCGGCGAGTTGCGTCTCCCACAATGACAGCTTCAACTTGAAAGAACGTATTTTACATTTACATTTTAGTCATTTAGCAGACGCTCTTATCCAGAGCGACTTACAGTTAGTGAATACATATTTTTTTATACTGGCCCCCCGTGGGAATCAAACCCACAACCCTGGCGTTGCAAACGCCATGCTCTACCAACTGAGCTACATCCCTGCCGGCCATTCCCTCCCCTACCCTGGACGACGCTGGACCAATTGTGCGCCGCCAGTTGTGCAACATCTGTAATGTCCGTGCTTTCATCAATTGCAACCGAAAACGCAATAAATGACTTTACTTTTTGCTTCAACTTGCTGTCCAAATCCACTGAAAGGTCGGAAATCCTGTCTGCAACTGTGTTTCTTGTCAGGCTGATATTTGCAAAAGCCTGGTGCTTTTCAGGGCACACAATCTCTGCTGCCTTCATCATGCATGTTTTTACAAATTCACCCTCACTAAATGGTTTTGAAGCCACTGCGATTTCATTAGCAATGAGGTAGCTAGCTTTCACTGCAGCGTCACTGATGTCTCGGCTGTGAGTAAACACAGACTGCTGTTTCTTCAGACCCACCAACAGTTCATTCACCTTCTCTCTTCTCCGCTGTCCTTGAAAGTTGTCATATTTGTCGGCATGAAGACTCACATAGTGGCGACGAAGGTTATATTCTTTCAGCACTGCAACATGCTGTGAACACACCAAACATACAGCTTTCCCATTAAATTCCGTGAATAAATAGAAGGATGACAATTTTTCTTGGAACACTCTGCACTCTGCGTCCACTTTTCTCTTTTTTGACAGAGACATATTGGGGCAATGAGGGTGCCAAAGCACATAATGTTAAAAGTAGAAGCCGTAATAAATATCGCGGGCAAAACAAAGTAGCTCATCCGGACTGGCTGCACTTGCTTGACCTATTTGCTCTGCCCCGGTATAAACAGTTTGCTTGCTTAACACAATTGCTATTGCGCCATCCAGTGGACACAATTGGAACAGCAGTTTCTTTTATTGAAAAATTGCAGCTCATTTTTATACTTTACAAAATCATCTCGCGGGCCGGATTAAACCCGATTGCCTAGGATTTGAGCAGTGAGGTGTCGCACGTTCGCCGTGGTGGGGGCCAGGGGTGGCACCGCCACGCTAAAGTGGTACTCATAAAAATTATTCAAGGTTGGCAGGTCTGGGACAGTGTTTGAGTGTGGGCTGATAGCCTGCTTCCCCTCTTCCAGACAGAGACCCTGCCCTGCCGTTGGGCATACCCACCCTGTCCATCGTGGCCTCCACTGCCAGCTCTGTAGCCCTCATCCTGCTGCTGGTGGTCCTGTTTGTCCTGCTGCAGCCCAAACTCAAGTCCTTCAACCACAGCCGGTGAGTGGCCTGAAACTACAGACAGGCTTATTTAGCATCAGCTATGGTAGACTCATCCCAGCTATTTGTGTACTCCAGGGGTGTGCATGTCTCATAAAACTAGCTCTTAAGAGTCTAAAGTAATGAGATATTAACTGACTGTTCCACTCCTCTCTGGTTCCCCTCAGCCGTGAGCAGGGGGTGTCAGGCCAGCCCGTGTCCATCATGGTGGAGGGGGTGCAGGTGGCCCTGCCCTCCTATGAGGAGGCGGTGTGTGGCGGAGGGGCTCTGAGTCTCAGCTCTGAGTCCCGGGTCCAAATAGTGCTGTCAGAGGGCCAGCAGGCTGCAGGGACGACAGAGCCTCTCATTGCCCAGGCCAGGCCCTCCACCCTCTCCCAGCTCTCAGAGATGGCATTGGTTCACCCAGTACCACCATCCTTCGCCTCTTCATCCTCCTCCTGCTGGGGCCCAGAGCAGGCTGCTACTGCAGTGCCTTCACCCTCACAGCGGAGGGACTCCACGGGCAGCGAGCAGCACAGCCTGCCCCTCCTCGACTCTGAGATGGACTACTCTGATGGTAGGCCCTCTATCAACATGTCTCTCCAAACAGGCCTCTTCACACATGTATTGGTTGATAATGCCCATATATGCATACAGTGTATTGATTATGTCTCTTTGTTCTTGCAGATATGCCTTTGTTAAAGGAGGCCTGAATCATGCTGCAGCCGCTTGGGCGTACGTTACGGAGACCCCTAGGGTTGCTGTTGATCGGCTGTGTTGAGTCAGAGGCCTGTATGAAGCTCCCCACTGCAGCAGCTGCCAACACAACAGACTACCCACCCACCTCCTCCAGGGGCACTAAGTGAGGCCGTGTCATGCTCAGCAGAATGTTACCTCTCCCCAATCCAGAGGAGGGCACAGAGGGGTTTCACATGTACATAATGCTTAGCCATTTTATAAGTGTCTGACACTTGTTCTTTTAACCATTGGCTTAGCGCAGGTACATAAAACTGTAAAAGAATGAGCACCCTGTATGTTGAAGGTTTTTTGGAATGGCTCGATATGACATGTTTTTTTTCAGTGGTTAATGCTATAAACACATTTTATGAGATAATCATTGCACTCATCACCAATTTGTACCATGTCAACCTGTTTTGACATGATCACTGCAGAACAGGCACAGCAGCACATTAGGAATGATGCATGAAGACCACTGCAATTTAGATTGAACCAGTCATTCTCACACATACACGGATTTGACCATTTATACTCAAACATTTTAACGATAGGGAAGTATGACTTTAACTTACGATAATATTCTGGTTGGGGTTCTTTATGGCACAACTAATTGATGTCACGTATCCATTCTGATCATGGTTTTGAGCTCAATGTTTTTTTTCATGCATTTATTAGATGATTTTGCTAAAGGCAAGTGTTCCCTAGGTTGAGGCACACGTCTCAGCTCATTGACATTGGGCTTAGCGTTCATATCCTCTTATTCATGTCAGTACACCTTTTCTCCGATGGCCTTAGAGCTCCACTTCTATGCACAAAACACATCCGTATTGAGTTTCATTCCTAAAAAAGGATTTAAAAATGAATGTCAATTTCCGGTCTTCACAGCTCAGTGATGTAACAAATTGGAGCATAGTTGGTGGTGTTTCTTGGACACCTGACAACTTTTACTTTCTATTTATTTGTGGTTTGTTTAAAAGTATGCTTTAATTAAGTTAAGCTAGGAAAACTAAATTGAGTATTTAATATATTCATGTCCAGAATGCTGTTGATCAGCCATGGTTGCTTGGATGCTTCCACAATTCTTGGAAAAGGATATTAAGACGGGTCTTTTAACATTGCCACCTTGGTGGACTCATAAGGACATATGTGTAAGACTGTAAAGTTAATTGGGTTAACCATAAATCATTAAAAACAGGTAGTTATTGTTATGTACAGAAGCTTAGTGTCATGTCTATTCAAATGGGTTCAGTTGCTTTGGGACTAAACAATGCAATTGGTGTAAAGATAGTATTTTAATATTTGAAAAAAGTTTGTTAATTTTACTCTGTATATACCCTGTGATAATTTTGAATAAACATAATTTTAGTTGTGCAAGTTTTTGTCCTTGTCAACCAATGCCATTCTTCAACAGTTCAACCTCTCTTTCACTGAACCGTTTGATATCTACGTTTTGTGGACTTTCTTTCAGCACTAGGTGGCATTGTAATGCACTTTATTCATAGTCTTGACTTCTAGAACCCACTTCTTGAACATTTATTTTCTGAAAAGTTAGAGGCTTGTTTAATTACAAACATCACCATTTTTTCCCATAAAACTGCCACAAAAACAAAGCTGGAGACCGTGTACAGCTTTATGGTGCTTTTATGTCCTCTACAGAAATCACTCCATTGTCGTTGTATTTGGTTAAAACCTTAATCTACATTATAACTTTTTTATATTTACACACTAAGTATAAAATACCTGGGTATAACCTATTGTGTCAAAATGCAAAATATGGGCAGCAGATAAACTATTTAAATTCATATTCATTATTAACATCTCTAGAAATAAAATCTGGCCTATATAAATAGTTACTATTTTTCCCCCCTCCAGTTAGTATCTAGTGGCTTAGACACTGCATTCCACCTACAGTATACAGTTGCATTGGTAAAATTGTGCTGCACATCCCCAGCCAGTTATGTTGCCCTAAAAAGCCATACAATTGATGTCACTGAAGTGACTGAGCGATGGCCATATTAGACTACCATCTTCTGTCCTCAGATTGTCTGAGGTGTCCCTCTCCCTTCCGTTGCCTTTCCAATGCTGGGGTCTTGGCTCCTGTCCTGGGCCTGTTCAGTTTGGTCTGCTGTCCTCCTGTGACCTCTCCATCTCTATGGGCCTCTCCCATATGGGACCTATAGAACCTTTACTTCCTCCATTTTACCGGCAACTGCCAGGTATAAAGGCTTTGCTATGGGAGAGAAAAATAGACTTCTTTAGAGGAAAGACTGCCTATATTTTCTCCCTTTGTCGAACAGTCTGGCACACTGTAACAACAACAGGGGTAAGCGGACAGTACGTTCTCTGAGCCACGCTACCCTAGTGTTACCCAGACAGCTGTGACACTTACCCTCAGCTGGTGGCTTGAACCTTTGGTAACATCTGAAGAGGATGATGAAAAGCAACGCCTCACCTCCCTGGAATATGATGTAGATCAGCGGGAACAGATACAGGGGCCCAATGACCTCCGGGGGAAAGGCCACCTTCAAGATGGTGGAACACAGCTGGATGTTCTGACAGCCTGTCTCTATAGAAATAGTCCTCCTGCATCTGAGAAAATATTTGTTACATGGTTTGCTCAACTGTATATAATTATTGATAACTATGAATGGATACCCCTTGGCCCAGTCCCATCCTTGAACCAATGAATACAGCAGTGCACTTACTGATGATTGACTTTGAAGATGGTGGACATGATGTATCCCAGCAGGTAGCCTGTCAGGGGCATCAGTGAAGCTGCAGCCAGGAGTTGGGGTGAGAGAACCACCCACACTGTTCCCCCAATAGTGATGCCTGACATGACGCCAATGGCCACAGAGGCAATCAGTAAGATGCTTAGACCAACCTGTGGAGTAAAAGCTCTATCAAATCAGACATGCTTTTAGAGGATGTTTATTAATGTCCTTTAGTAATTAGACCATGCTATATAAATTGATTAGAAACACAATTTGATATACAGTGGGGAAAAAAAGTATTTAGTCAGCCACCAATTGTGCAAGTTCTCCCACTTAAAAAGATGAGAGAGGCCTGTAATTTTCATCATAGGTACACGTCAACTATGACAGACAAATTGAGAAAAATAAATCCAGAAAATCACATTGTAGGATTTTTAATGAATTTATTTGCAAATTATGGTGGAAAATAAGTATTTGGTCACCTACAAACAAGCAGGATTTCTGGCTCTCACAGACCTGTAACTTCTTCTTTAAGAGGCTCCTCTGTCCTCCACTCGTTACCTGTATTAATGGCACCTGTTTGAACTTCTTATCAGTATAAAAGACACCTGTCCACAACCTCAAACAGTCACACTCCAAACTCCACTATGGCCAAGACCAAAGAGCTGTCAAAGGACACCAGAAACAAAATTGTAGACCTGCACCAGGCTGGGAAGACTGAATCTGCAATAGGTAAGCAGCTTGGTTTGAAGAAATCAACTGTGGGAGCAATTATTAGGAAATGGAAGACATACAAGACCACTGATAATCTCCCTCGATCTGGGGCTCCACGCAAGATCTCACCCCGTGGGGTCAAAATGATCACAAGAACGGTGAGAAAAAATCCAGAACCACACGGGGGGACCTAGTTAATGACCTGCAGAGAGCTGGGACCAAAGTAACAAAGCCTACCATCAGTAACACACTACGCCGCCAGGGACTCAAATCCTGCAGTGCCAGACGTGTCCCCCTGCTTAAGCCAGTACATGTCCAGGCCCGTCTGAAGTTTGCTAGAGTGCATTTGGATGATCCAGAAGAGGATTTGGAGAATGTCATATGGTCAGATGAAACCAAAATAGAACTTTTTGGTAAAAACTCAACTCGTCGTGTTTGGAGGACAAAGAATGCTGAGTTGCATCCAAAGAACACCATACCTACTGTGAAGCATGGGGGTGGAAACATCATGCTTTGGGGCTGTTTTTCTGCAAAGGGACCAGGACGACTGATCCGTGTAAAGGAAAGAATGAAAGGGGCCATGTATCGTGAGATTTTGAGTGAAAACCTCCTTCCATCAGCAAGGGCATTGAAGATGAAACGTGGCTGGGTCTTTCAGCATGACAATGATCCCAAACACACCGCCCGGGCAACGAAGGAGTGGCTTCGTAAGAAGCATTTCAAGGTCCTGGAGTGGCCTAGCCAGTCTCCAGATCTCAACCCCATAGAAAATATTTGGAGGGAGTTGAAAGTCTGTGTTGCCCAGCGACAGCCCCAAAACATCACTGCTCTAGAGGAGATCTGCATGGAGGAATGGGCCAAAATACCAGCAACAGTGTGTGAAAACCTTGTGAAGACTTACAGAAAACGTTTGACCTGTATCATTGCCAACAAAGGGTATATAACAAAGTATTGAGAAACTTTTGTTATTGACCAAATACTTATTTTCCACCATAATTTGCAAATAAATTCATAAAAAATCCTACAATGTGATTTTCTGGATTTTTTTTCCTCAATTTGTCTGTCATAGTTGACGTGTACCTATGATGAAAATTACAGGCCTCTCTCATCTTTTTAAGTGGGAGAACTTGCAGAATTGGTGGCTGACTAAATAAAAAATTTCCCCACTGTATCCTAATATATGTAACTTTGTTGGCCAAAAATACAGGACCTGGAGTCAAGCCCACCTTGATGATGATCTGAGAGTACTGTGGTACCCGGTGGTTGATGGCTATGCCAATGGCACAGGGCGCTAGGGTCATGATGAGAGCTATGGTGATGCCAGTGTAAGGCACAGCGTTTTCCAAGTTATTGAAGCCGTGGCAATATAGGAAGAGCAGCAGAGGCATCATACCCAGGGCCAAAACAGTAGAACATGTGGTCATTACAATGCTGTAGGATATAAAGAGAAGGGGGGGGGTTGAAACCTTTTATAATTTCCATTGAGTTTTCAATTGTAATTGAGTTTCGGTGATATCCTTGCCCAATCTTAACAATAGAACATGTTATGTTTAGTTTAGCATTCATGCCATGTGCAAAATTATTAAAACATTTGGATTTTTCTGTATTGTGAAACAATTGTATTACTTTTTTGGTCCAACATTTTAACGGACTCTGTGTCCTGACCTAAATATGCTGAAAACCTTAGCAGCCTAATAATGTTTTAAAAAAATTTTTAAACAGACAGATCAAAATGTCAATGAGTTCCACCTGAGGTTCATGTCACCCTTCAGGGCCAGGGCGAAGATGTTGGAGAGGTTTCCCCCCGGACAGCAGCCACAGATCAGCACGGTCACAGCCTCGATGGGGCCCAGCTGGAAGATTTTGGCCAGGCTGAAGGCAGTGAGAGGCATGATACCAAACTGGGCCACCACTGCGATGGCAACACCTTTGGGCTTCAGAATATGGGCCTTGATCTTGGAGATCTCCATGGTGCAGCCCAGGGACACCATGGTGATGAAGAGGATGATGATGGTGATGCCACTGATGGCCATGTCCATAACCGGGGAGAAGAGGGACTGGAAGCCAGTGGTGACATTACGAGGTGTGATGTTGTAGGTGTTGCTGCCATTCCAAGCTGTCTCATAGCCGTCTCTGTACTGTCCCTCTGTCTGGTTCATGGTACCATTCATCCCAAAGCTGTTGGTTTACTTTATATTTAATATACCCTGAGACACCGAACATAAAAAAGTTAAATTAAATAAAAAATATATCTACAGTATGTCAATGGAGAGCAAGTGGTTCTTTGTTATCTCTTGGACTTGATCAACTGGAGAGTTACAACCCATCCTGTCTACTCTATTACACTTCAGCCTTGTGATCTAAACGTTGAATCCTGTCTACTCTACTACACTTCAGCCTTGTGATCTAAACTTTGAATCGTGTCTACTCTAGACTTACATGATGAGTATTACTATTTTTACAATAAGACAGTTTGGTACTAGCTATGTCACTCAATGACACCACACAATTCATTTGATGAGACATGAACAATGTAATCTATGAATGCATTTTGCTACCAGGCAACATTTCACCTCAGAAGATGATTCAAATCTATCCTGCAGTGTTGAATGACTCCGCAGCTATGCTGATGATGACTCACCAGTCCAGAGAGTTAATACACTACTCTATAAATGGAAACCATCGTCACTCAGTTCTGACCGTACAGTGATTAGTATTAGCCTTTGGTGTTTCTCAGAGAGCTCTAAGATATTCTCCTTGTGACTTTCAGCTGCTACAAAAGCTGAAAGGATAAGTTACAAATGATTGTTCAAAGAATATGCCCCTTTCCTAGAATATGTGACTAAGGAGCAAACATATACAGTGAGGGAAAAAAGTATTTGATCCCCTGCTGATTTTGTACGTTTGCCCACTGACAAAGACATGATCAGTCTATAATTTTAATGGTAGGTTTATTTGAACAGTGAGAGACAGAATAAAAACAAAAAAATCCAGAAAAACGCATGTCAAAAATGTTATAAATTGATTTGCATTTTAATGAGGGAAATAAGTATTTGACCCCTCTGCAAAACATGACTTAGTACTTGGTGGCAAAACCCTTGTTGGCAATCACAGAGGTCAGAGGTTTCTTGTAGTTGGCCACCAGGTTTGCACACATCTCAGGAGGGATTTTGTCCCACTCCTCTTTGCAGATCTTCTCCAAGTCATTAAGGTTTCGAGGCTGACGTTTGGCAACTCAAACCTTCAGCTCCCTCCACAGATTTTCTATGGGATTAAGGTCTGGAGACTGGCTAGACCACTCCAGGACCTTAATGTGCTTCTTCTTGAGTCACTCCTTTGTTGCCTTGGCCGTGTGTTTTGGGTCATTGTCATGCTGGAATACCCATCCACGACCCATTTTCAATGCCCTGGCTGAGGGAAGGAGGTTCACACCCAAGATTTGACGGTACATGGTCCCGTCCATCGTCCCTTTGATGCGGTGAAGTTGTCCTGTCCCCTTAGCAGAAAAACACCCCCAAAGCATAATGTTTCCACCTCCATGTTTGACGGTGGGGATGGTGTTCTTGGGGTCATAGGCAGCATTCCTCCTCCTCCAAATACGGCGAGTTGAGTTGATGCCAAAGAGCTCGATTTTGGTCTCATCTGACCACAACACTTTCACCCAGTTCTCCTCTGAATCATTCAGATGTTCATTGGCAAACTTCAGACGGGCCTGTATATGTCCTTTCTTGAGCAGGGGGACCTTTCGGGCGATTTCAGTCCTTCACGGCGTAGTGTGTTACCAATTGTTTTCTTGGTGACTATGGTCCCAGCTGCCTTGAGATCATTGACAAGATCCTCCCGTGTAGTTCTGGGCTGATTCCTCACAGTTCTCATGATCATTGCAACTCCACGAGGTGAGATCTTGCATGGAGCCCCAGGCCGAGGGATATTGACAGTTTCTTCCATTTGCGAATAATCGCACCAACTGTTGTCACCTTCTCACCAAGCTGCTTGGCGATGGTCTTGTAGCCCATTCCAGTCTTGTGTAGGTCTACAATCTTGTCCCTGACATCCTTGGAGAGCTCTTTGGTCTTGGCCATGGTGGAGAGTTTGGAATCTGATTGATTGATTGCTTCTGTGGACAGGTGTCTTTTATACAGTTAACAAGCTGAGATTAGGAGCACTCCCTTTAAGAGTGTGCTCCTAATCTCAGCTCGTTACCTGTATAAAAGACACCTGGGAGCCAGAAATATTTCTGATTGAGAGGGGGTCAAATACTTATTTCCCTCATCAAAATGCAAATCAATGTATAACATTTTTGACATGCGTTTTTCTGGATTTTTTTGTTGTTATTCTGTCTCTCACTGTTCAAATAAACCTACCATTAAAATTATAGACTGATCATTTCTTTGTCAGTGGGCAAACGTACAAAATCAGCAGGGGATCAAATTCTATAGAGTGCAGTCGGGTTCCCGATCACACATGCATTCGAAGAGGCCTTCAGTAGGGGGAAGTGTCTCTTAGAAGTGTCTCAGAACACGGTCACTAATGAAAACATCAGGACCCGGCAGAATATTTTTACAACACAGAGTGCAGAAATACACCTCTACAAAGTTTGAAAGCATTCCACAGGGATGCTGGCCCATGTTGTCTCCAATGCTTCCCACATTTGTGTCAAGTTGTCTGGATATCCTTTGGGTGGTGGACCATTCTTGATACACATGGGAAACTGTTGAGCGTGAAAAACCCAGCAGCGTTGCAGTTCTTGACACAAACCAGCACTTAAATATGTTTTCTTGCCCATTAACCCTCTGAATGGCATACATACACAATCCATGTCTCAATTGTCTCAAGGCTTAATTAGGTTTAATTATTGGTCTTTTTTTATGAGATAAACTAAATCTAGATCTGCTTTATTTGTAAATTAGATTACTTTCATGCAGGTCCTGTCTGTGTTTTAAACTTATGAGTCCTGAAGTGGCCCTGTAGTTCAACTAGTTATTACATTGTTATTGTAGTCCATTTGATAAAAAGATAAAGTAGATAAAAATCCCAGATTATAATGCAAGTAGTAATTAATTATCATGACACCTCAAGGCACTGTGATTATTTAAAAAGTATTTTCTTACCTTCATAGTGTGCAGTCTTGTGATGTTCAAGTCTCTGGTCCGCTGAGTGCTTTCTCTCTCTTCTTTCTCTCTCTTACTCCCCCTCTCCCTCCCCTCTCTCTCTCTCACACACACTTTCCCCATCCCTCCTCACGTTCTTCTATCTAACCCCTTGGCTCTCTATCTAGAACACCCTGTCACATGGCATTATGGTCACATGGTAGGGGTGCTAACTCCTGCGCAACAGGCTACATCTCCAAATTCATAACAATCATCACATTTCTGTACTCCATGCCCTCTTACATCCTAGACATATCCACCTGAATATGTTTGTATATGATAGGGGGATGTAAATGAGACAAAGGAATGTGTATGCATGTATTTCTTCCCAATTCAACTTTCTTAGCAGAATTGACATAATTGGTTATTACCCAATCATCAGCTAAAAACAGCTTGTTAGATATCCATGGTTAATGATGATGTCAACACTCTTATAAAATGTTTCAGGGCTCTAGAGTTAACATTCAGTACAGCTGAAGATAAGTTGATCACAATACTGTACCAATAAGTTACAGTAAATGCTCATCCACACCTGCTAATATGAGATGCCAGCTCTGTCCCTTGTTTGGCTGTTTTTTCTATTGGACTTGAGTACCGTGGGAAAGCCTTGTTTAGCATCAATGGGTCAGATTGTGTGGACAGAGTGTAATTGTTGCCAAAGCACTTCAGAAGGCTTTTTTCTACTTGGCGTTCATGCACATGTAAGTATCAATTCATATTACACAACCAGGCTGAAGATTCAATGCCTTCGCCTGGCAAAGTTGCCAGTCCTTTCAGTGGCGCCCCTCCTCTCTTTATGCCATGCTTGGCAACTTGGGACCTTCCAGTCACTACTCACACAACTGGGCCAGAGATGTCAAATAAGGCTGAGTTGTTGATTTTGTAAACAGTGTGTTACGGATTAGTCACTTTATTCCTAGTTATATGTACAGTTGAAGTCAGAAGTTTACATACACTTAGGTTGGAGTCATTAAAACTCGTTTTTCAACCACTCCACACATTTCTTGTTAACAAACTATAGTTTTGGCAAGTCGGTTAGGACATCTACTTTGTGCATGACACAAGTAATTTTTCCAACAATTGTTTACAGACAGATTATTTCACTTATCACTGTATCACAATTCCAGTGGGTCAGAAGTTTACATACACTAAGTTGACTGTGCCTTTAAACAGCTTGGAAAATTCCAGAAAATGATGTCATGGCTTTAGAAGCTTCTGATAGGCTAATTGACATAATTCGAGTCAATTGGAGGTGTACCTGTGGATGTATTTCAAGGCGTACCTTCAAACTCAGTGCCTCTTTGCTTGACATCATGGGAAAATCAAAAGAAATCAGCCAAGGCATCAGAAAGAAAATTGTAGACCTCCACAAGTTTGGTTCATCCTTGGGAGAAGGTACCACGTTTATCTGTACAAACAATAGTACACAAGTATAAACACCATGGGACCACGTAGCCGTCATACCGCTCAGGAAGGAGACGCGTTCTGTCTCCTAGAGATGAACGTACTTTGGTTGAGAAAAGTGCAAATCAATCGCAGAACAACAGCAAAGGACCTGGTGAAGATGCTGGAGGAAACAGGTACAAAAGTATCTACAGTGGGGAAAAAAAGTATTTAGTCAGCCACCAATTGTGCAAGTTCTCCCACTTAAAAAGATGAGAGAGGCCTGTAATTTTCATCATAGGTACACGACAACTATGACAGACAAAACGAAAAAAAATCCAGAAAATCACATTGTAGGATTTTTAATGAATTTATTTGCAAATTATGGTGGAAAATAAGTATTTGGTCAATAACAAAAGTTTCACAATACTTTGTTATATACCCTTTGTTGGCAATGACACAGGTCAAACGTTTTCTGTAAGTCTTCACAAGGTTTTCACACACTGTTGCTGGTATTTTGGCCCATTCCTCCATGCAGATCTCCTCTAGAGCAGTGATGTTTTGGGGCTGTCGCTGGGCAACACAGACTTTCAACTCCCTTCAAAGATTTTCTATGGGGTTGAGATCTGGAGACTGGC